TAGCTCTGATGATGTCCATAACATGATGGACGAAAGCTCTGCACGTTTTCGCCCGAAACGAGGGAGAAGGTCTTGTGGACTGCGTCAACATGAATATCGTATAAAAGCAAAACGTCTGCAGTACAACGAGATTCATCTGTCCTCATCTAGTGAGATCTACCAATGAATCTCTTCTTCATTCACTTCCATGCGAAATGAAAGTCCCGCTATCAATACTTAGGATATGCAAAATCAAGATATAGAAGCATAGGGTTGCGACTATAAAAGATAAATATAATAAGATTTAAAACATTAACTACATAAAATCACTTGCAACCAAAATTTAATAAAACTGAAATTGAAAATCATATATGAATAATGTGATAAAGATAAACAGCAATATGATAGTGTAAAGTAAAACAGATATCTTAAAAAGGCAAACCTGCTCTATGTCGCATATATTCCTATTTCTATTGCATATAACCAAATATATAATTATATAATCAAGGAGCACGAGTTAATTAAGAATTTGTTAGACTTACTTAATCGGGTTCTTTATCTCGTTTGGGCGGTGCTCTTCTATCATCTCCAATGCTCTCAGTTGCTTCTCGCGTATTGCGCCAGCAGCTAGGTATGCTGTCTCACTGATTTTTTAAACTACAATTTGATATTGTTTTATAATTAAAAGAACGATTGTCCTATTACTTATACTCTACTGATATTATTTTTGATGAATGTCCAATTTTCTCACCAGAATGTCTAGTCCGTCTTAGTTGACTGGCCTTTAATCTGTTTACTAGTAATTATTTGAGCTTCTCGTGCATATTCTTTTAGTGGTATTTTTCACCGTGAAGTACATACTCTATTTTTATTTTGTCTCAAAGCATATACATTAGGCGGATGTTGTTCACCTATACGTTCGCTTAGCTTTTTCGAAAATCGTTCGGCGTTGTACCGGTCTTTTTCAACAGATGTCTCCCTCTGTGCATCTCTAAATGAAATGGCTATGTACGGCCCTTACCAAAAGAAGCGACCCCCAAATCTTCAAATGGATGGCAAGCCATTTATGAAGGCTATTGTGCTAAAGACTCTTATCCGAAAACCAAAAAAGCCTAACAGTGCAAATCGCAAATGTGTTCGTATTCGCCTTAGTAATGGTAGAGAAGTGGTTGCTTTTGTTCCTGGTGAGGGACACAATTTACAAGAACACAATCTTGTTCTCGTTCGCGGGGGAAGATGTCAGGATTTGATCGGAGTAAAGCACAAAGTGGTTCGTGGGGCATTTGACTGTGCTAAAGTTCAAAAGAAGTCCATTTGATTTTTCAAAACATATGTACCTAATTTAGAACTTTGATTAATAAAAAAATTAGACAAACTTCTCCTTTTATGCTTCATTCTACATTAAATAAAAATTTGATGTTTCTTTGTATCCTTAAAGGCAACGGTCATCTTACTTAATCATTCAAGTGACGGACACTATTTTTAAGGGAACCATGGCATCCGCTATCAAAACGATAAATTCGACACAATCTTCTCTCTTTCCTACTTCTGAACAAGCTACTACTGATGATTCTTCAGATATAATTTTGTTTGGCGCTCATGATTCTCCAAAGATTTGCTCACATGAAGTAAGAACAGCATTTTCTTTTTGTCACTGGGTCCTGGCACGAACTATTGCTTTACTTTGTTGACAACTTATATATAGATAGATATATTCAAACTCTAGAATTGTTTTTGTATGTTCAATGACTTTTACATTTATTTCTTATTGAATATGCCGGTGAACTATCATGAACCTACCTTTTGTGTATTTTTTTGATTTCTATATACCTAAGTCTTAAAATGTGTTAAGGACTTAGTTACTACATATAACATAACTTTTGTAAGTATTTACAACCCATTATTAAAATCTATTTGATTTTTCGCATTGCAAATCTAGGGGCATGTTTTTGGGCCATAATTTATGCCTTCTTGTTTTTCAAAAAATTTCAGCGGACAAACGTTCGTACTTAATAGGTTCTAATTTCTAACCGTTTCTATTGTAAAGCTTAAAACCACAAATGCTAGTCTTCGAATTAGAAAGGGATTTATACTCTTTCGTTATTTCGCCATTTTTTTCGGACTTGAACAGAACTTAGCCAATGCATCTTTAAAGCGACAACGAACTATTTTTAGACTATCGACAGAATACATTTTGCTGTTCTGTTTTGAAGCTATCACTAACTAGAAAATACATAGGATTGTTGAATTAAAACTGGCCTGAATTCGCTTTTCATACAAATTAATAGTTTTTTCCTAAGTCGACTTTGAAATATGTTACTCTGACTCACATTCTTAAATGTTTTCTAACATTTAGGAAACATTTTAACATCTTATTATATTTTTGCATCACACAGCAGGCCATATCTCAGGACTCCCACCGCTGGCCCTTCCAGGATCAGTGCAATGGGTTATTGGCTAACAAGCACTCAACTCCCGTTTTTTCTCAGGTTAGACCAGCTGTTTTCTGTTCAATGTCTACTAATGAGAGTTATTCCTCTCTTACAACTGATGCTTCTACCACATCGATCAGCTCTACTAGCAATAGCTCCGCTTCATTATTTCATATTGACACACATTCCTCCGAGTTCGACTCTTCCTGGCGGAAAACGACATCCCAATCATCGGATGCTCCTACTCAAATAGCAGATTCATACGATGAGGAACGTAATAGGAAAGAGCAAAGCTTGATGGAAAGACACTTTTTTCCTCGCCATCAAGTCGTACTACATCCAAGCTCGTCATGTTCTTCATGCACTCCTGGCCCCCGAAGTTGCTGCTCCTCGGACACTCTCCCACCCTCTGATCCCAGTAGTACTCCGGCGCAGTCGAATTCTACCTCCGAGTCTTCACCTGATCTGGATGTGGTTGCTGATGCTACCATAGATAAAATCATAAAGCAAAATCGCATTCCCTTACCAGTTCCGCCTCGGAAACGATCCATAAGTTGGTTTTACAGACTACGCACTGTCTTCGGCATCTCCTGTCTTTGGCTTTCGGCATATCTTGGTGCCATATTTCTGCAAGCTCCGGCCCTGCCGCTTCTCTTCTTTGCTCCGCGCGCCTTCCTGCTCTATATTGACTGGACTATGCATCTGTGGCTAGTGCTGGCTGAGGTGGGTTGCTAAAGTTGCTTGTACCTCTTACACTTTAACATATTAGTTGGTTTATCTTGTAGTGCTTGCTTGTTAGTCATGTTAGAAAACATGCCGACTCATCTTCATTTCATTTGAAAAGAAGGGTAGAAAGTAATAGTTAATTTGTATCATCGGATATTGGAGGAGGATTGCCTCGAACTTATGACTGCCGAATTCTGCCAAGAAAACCTCGGCTCACCCCCATGAATACGTTCTCAGCCTTCGTATTTCATGTGATAAACAGCGCATCCTTAATGCTGCTTCTTGATTTATATGCTTTGATTTTATTCTTTTTTTGGGGGGGGGGG